GCCATGGAGACCCCACAAGATGGACTTGAACCATGTCCAGTCTACAAAGAGGAGGGTCAACTCAGAGGAAATATCCATGCTTCCAAGTAAAGCCAGACATGGTTGAGCAGGACCTTTGACTTATTTTCATATAGATGAACTGGTAAAAGAAAGGAGCCAGGAGCTCCTCCCAAGCCCATGTGACCCCTGAGGAACAGATCCTCAATTGACCTTAAGTGTAAAAATAAACTGATTTATTTGGGCCAACTGTATGGTCTTAAACACCCAAAACAAAAGTATAACCAAAGAGGAAAGTCATCAGTATATTTAAGAGTTCAAGGGATTACACTTCCCAGACATTAGGCTTAAGTCCATATAAAAAGTTATTTGGACAATTACTTCTCATTGATGATTGAGTTCCTAATCAGAAAGTGCTGCTCAGATGTAAGATTTCAAATCTTGGTCTCCAATACTGTAGTGCCCGCTTGTAGCTAAGGGAGACAATCTGCTATTGTTCTAAAATGATGGATAAATTTGTTTTCTCCCCCTATCTAGAAGCCTTTGAGAGGGAACTGACACTGATTCTAACCACTCCAACAGCTATCAAAATACCTGAAAGCAAATCCTGAATCCATCACTCTAGAGTCCAGCCTTGGAAGACAAAAGAAAAGATGAGGAGGAACCCAATAGAGGGATGCTTTTGGAAGCCCTTGTTCTGACTTTTTCTAGTTCCCTGTCTAGAACTTGTAATGCTAATTTCTCTTGCCTTTACTTCTCCTTCACATCTCCTATTGACCAGTCAAGGATTTTCTTTTCCCTCTACAGATAAGAGTTATGCGATTTGGGAGTCTTTTAGATAGACTCACTGAAGGGGTTAGGGTTAGGGCAATTGCCTCACCCTGTGTCCCTGTTCAGCATGGAAGAAGCCAGAGCGGTCTACATCCCTGTTCCCTCTCTGCAAGCTGGGTAATGCCTTCAGAGTATGCTGTGATAAGAATAGGAGGCAGGAATTGACTAGGCAGTTAGGGTAGAAAGGCCCCAAAGAAAAGTAGCTAGTTTCTTGGCTAAAACTCACAATGTCCTTGGGCCTCTTAGCAACCTACTCCATTCCAAAGGCCAAAAATGTCAAAAGTATTTGGGAACATTTATCTAATCCTTAAAAGATTTTAGGGTTACCTCTTCAAAGGGGAGAATGTTAGAGTAGCCAAAAGCCCAGAAAGGAAGGGAGGGCAGAAGGGGACAAAGAAAAATATGGCTTTAAAACTGTGTGCTGTTTAATAGAAATGCAATTAGTTGAAGAAAATGTTCGGAAATTGGCCTCAGTTTGAGTATGTTAGTTTAGCTTATCCACAAGCTTTATTTTAAGTTTTTCTTCTTTTGAATAAATAACTATTTCATTTTTTTTTAAATGTCCAGTTTTTACAAGAAGATTGACTTTGGCCAAGTTACTTAACTTCTCTGGCTTTAATTTCTTCTCCCAGAAAGACAGGAGGGAATTCCTTCTTCCCAAACTGGCGTGTGTGTGTGTGTGTGTGTGTGTGTGTGTGTGTGTGTGTGTGTTCATGACTTGTAAAGCTTTGATTTGCCTCTCAGTCATGAGAGATGAAATAGAAGTTTGAGCCTCTCATGACCTACTTGTTTTTGCTGTGTCTCTGTCATCCATTTTCTAAGTGGTGCAGACCATTGATGACTTCTGCGCAGGAAAGCACATGATCGGGTTGGCGTCTTCAAACAGCCAGTGTGTTCATAAGTAAAATGAAAAAGGAGGTTAATACTGAAGCAGAGGGGTGGTTAGACTTGTAGTAGTTGAGGCAATGGGTTATAGCATAAGTAATACAGGGTAGAGGCCAAATGAGTGGAAAACACGATGCAGGAAATCTTGATAAGGAAAAATGGTCAGTCTTGGCACTTGAATGAATGTCTAAGATGTTAGAAAGGAAAAAGTAATAATATTGACCTGGCTCAAAACTGGATTCTGGGGAGAAAATGAGATCATTAAATGAGAGAGCACATGCTGGTCTTGGATTGACAGATGGATATCTGGGTAGAACTATCTAGAAGTCAGAGAGCAATACATGTATGGGGCTTAGGCAGGATTCAGGGCTGGAGAAGACAGAGACATGCCAAGGTAGCTGGAAAGCGGAATCATAAGGAGAGGTGATGACTAGCCATCCTTTGGGAGCTATTTCATCTGGAAGCAGGAGTCGAAAGAAAGGCCTTGCATGGGAAAAAGCAGACGAGTGGAGAGAACCAGAGGCAGAAGCATGAATGCCAAGGAGGACGGGGCTCGTGGGTGGGGGTGATGAACACTGTGCCCATTGTGAAGAGGGCAGTGGGGATGAAGGCTAAGAAGGGATCATGGGGTTTTCAGATTATGCAGTGGACAGTCAGCGTTGCCAGCATGTGCTGTGGGTGAAAGCCCTGTCACTAGAGACCGAGTGGAAGGACAAAGGCATTCATATATGGGGAGAACAGAGTTCAAGTCATGTTTGGTTGTGATTTTTTTTTTTTTTTTTTTTTTTTTTTTTTGTGGCTGGGCAAGACATGATTATATGCTGGAGGAGGAAAGCTCATAGACAAAGAGGTGGTTGACAAAATCAAATACAGTTGGCATCTGAGGGAGGAGGATGGAGTCTAAGGGGAAGAGAAGTCCCTTCTTCCCTTAGATTCCTCAGATATTTCCTGGGTCATGTCACCCTGTTCTTTTCCATGGGGCATGTTGGGACCTGACCCTCAGCAGATAGCATCCATGTCATGCCAGTCAGGAGGCAGCAGGGAGAGGCGGGCAGAGGTGGAAACAGGAGAGAGATGCATCTCCCACCAAAGTGCATGAAATATACAAGGTCTTCTCAGGAATGGAGAGATAAGAGAGAATGAACTGGAAAGAAACTCCAAGGCCACCTCCCTAAGGTCTTGTTAGATGCATAGCCTGGGTTCAGTGTGTATCTCCTCCCTCTTCCTGTTTGTCTCCCTTCCTCACTGATAAAGGATCCTGCACACAGATCTCTACCTTCCCATCTCACCAGGGCTATGCAGAGACCTGGAAAACACACATACCCCACCCTGCTAAGGGTGCCTGCACTCCACCTTCTCCTTGATCTCATGAGGCCCTGTTCTCCCTTTGTCCTGTCACATTTAGCTGTATCGTATGTCTTTCATGCTGGCTAGGTGCTTTACTATTCCTGTCTGTGAAGCCTAGGAACTCAGAATGGGCGTAGCTAAATAACAACATGAGCATTATTTAGGCTGACAGCTCTAGAGAATGTGCATTGGCCATCACTGGAAAAAATAATCAATGTGTAATCAAAATGAGGGAGATGAAAAGGGAGAGGGCCAACTTTGACTTTCCACCTCAGAAGATGGGACCCAAAGAGAAAATAAAAAATAAGCAACATGTGTGGTCAAGTGGATGAAAGGGTGAGAGCAAACAGTTCCCAGTGGGGCCCAAGGCACCAGAGGGGACCTTGAAGGATTTGATCTTAGCACAGACAGTAGGGTCAGATGTCAATGCACTGCAAAACCCAATAAAAGAAGACGGAACTAAAAGAAGGTAATGTAAACTGCAGATCCATGGAGACTGGTACTTTGTTTTAGGGATGAAGAGAGGGCATAGATAGTCTGGCATTAGACTGGCAGATGTGTACAGAAGAGGACAAGAGTGAGGCAGCAGTCACTTTGGGCCCTGGATTCCTAGGCTTTGGGACTGAGCCTGTGTTTTGGAATGGAAAACTGACCAGTGGAGGAGGAGCTTTGATCACTGGTTTGGAGCAGGTAGGAGGAACAAGGTGACTTTCTACCACCTCAGTCATGCACGGTGTAGCCCAGACAGCCTGCCCCAGATGTATGTCTGTAAGTCCTTTGGACTTCTGTGGCCTCACTGTAAGAAAAGGGCTTTGGACCTGTCAATCCTCTGAGCTCTGAAACTCCCTTGTCACAGAATATTTCTAGAAAGGATGTCACACACCCCCATAAGTTTTCTGATCAGGATTAAAGGGGACCTTGGAGTGAGTTTAAACACCAGAGCTCTGGGTGGGGCTGGTAATCTCAGCTGAGAAATAGGAACCCTTAGCCCACCCAGCACAGCAGAATAGGGTCTACTCAAGCTGGGGTAGGATACACAATATTAATCTTAATGACATCTTTGCCAGGTTTGTTTAGAATTACTTGGCACTTTCATGTCTGGTGACAGTCACCACAGCATTAGGGAAAAATAGGTTCAAGCTTTGTGAGCCTAATAACATCTGGAGAAAGGTCAACTGCAAGTGATATCACAAGGCAGCTGACTGGGTAACTCCGATCTTCACACATAAGAATGGAGTCTGAGAAAAAAGTACCGCTTCACATCATTTCAGAACTGATGATCACAAAATCTGCAGCATCTTCCCCAAGTAGGAAACACTCCGATGAATAGACCAGATGTCACATGGCCATTTCCATGGGAAGAAAGTGGTTCGTTCTGGTGGCCTCTGTCTGAAGTTCTTCCCAAGTCTACATATTTTATCCCCTTGCTCTGCTTCAATCTGGTCTGTGCTATTCAACCAACTTTTGCCAGGATGGGCTTGTCAGTACTCTTAACCACTGAGCCATCTCTTCAGCCCCAGCTCTGTGGTACAGGATGGGTTTGTAGCAGTAGCAAAGTTTACCTCTTGCATTGTTTGTGTAAAAAGATCAATTGCTATTTTCTTGCTTCATTCATGAAACTCCCAAAATGTTACCCTAGCCACAGCCAAATGCTGCACTGTAGAAAGAGTGTTCCCAAATGGAACTTGGAAAAAGCTTTTTGTTCAAAATCTAAATAACATCTTGTGTCAAAACAAATGTGACAATGGGCTATTATGTCTCACCCCATAATAACATGTTCTCACATCTCTGTGTCCTGGATGAATGAAGGATGGGAGACCATGTGGGAATTAACCGGGTGGGGGAGGAAAGCTGAAACCCTAGGTAAGCATTTCATGGTAGGCATTTTCTTAAACAGAAACAGCTCCTTGGGGAGGTAACTCAGAGGTTGATCCCTGCAGGTGCCCGGCCACAGCCTCGAGTTCATTTCCAGAGAAGGGCCTTGAGGTTACCCGAGAATACCAGTTACAGTGACCTGACCGCCTTTCTTACCGCCGCCAGCTCCCCATCAGAGGTGGACAGCTTTCCCTACTTACGAGGACTGGATGGAAATGGAACAGGTAATTTGAGTCTCCTCTTTTTGGGTGGAGCTTCTGGGGTTTATTCTTTCTTTGTGGGTTTTGGATATGGCAAGAGGTCTTCAGACTAAGTGGGGAAGGGGCCTTGACCTTGCAGGTTCTGTGTTAATACTGTTACCAACTCAAGGAAGAATTGAGTCTACCCGACGGTAGAATTGCATCTTAGCAAACTGGCCTCCTTGAGCCCTTCAGCTGTTACCAGTGGCCTAAAGCACCATCTCTGATCTTTCCTTGGCTGGACTAAATATTTCTGTTCAGTTAAAATTGTAATTCTAAGTAGAAGATCAGAAATAGGGGATCTCTGCTTCTTTCCCTCCACTTAGACCCACTTTCATTCAGAATGTGTGGTTGGTGACACAGCATCTCACTCAGCTCCCCTGCAAGAGGCACACAGTCCCACCTTCTCACCTGCCACATGCCCCAGCTACAAGAAGGCTTCAATGGCTTCTGGAGATGAGCAAGCGGCTGTCAGTGCCCCACCACAGGCAGATCTCTTAGGCGTGGACATTGTCTGCCTCTCCTGGCTGTGGCCATCAGTCACCCAGTCTTTCCTCTCTGTCTTTAGGTGCTCTGCCTTCCTTCCCCTTCAAAGGGGAATTGGAACGGGCAAGCTCTCTGTGGAGTAGCAGAGAGGAGCCAGTCTCTCAAGTTGATTTGGAAACTTCTAGCAGATCACTAAGTCAGCTCCATCTTTGTCTCCACCCTGACATAACACATAGAGCTGCAAGATGAGAGAAACCAAAAGTCACCCACCAGAAGTGATCATTCCTTATCCGAGAAAGAATACAGGTGTGTGCCCTCCCCCTCTCAGTGACAGGATGGTCCACAAGCCCTGTCCTGATATAGGAAGGTTCTAGGTCCTGGAGTCCTGAGTCTTTTTTTTTTTTTTATGTCTGCCCCTCTTTGTTGTTCTTGGTGTTTTAAACCAGACACAGCATAAAACTGAAAAGCAGCTACTCAGAGTTAAATTCTACTGGGAACATTATTGTACTTCCCAAGGACACTTGTTAAATTTGTCTTAATTTTCCAGGGCTTTATATGAACTGATGATTCAGAAAAAGCTCATAAACCTCAAAAATCTCATCCATTTTTGTAGCATGTTAATAAATTTCTAGTTGGAGATGAAGGTGCCTCGTGATTTCGTGCCCTTCCTCCCTCTGTGGGTCATATTTTGATAAATGTTTCTTCCTTTAACTTTTGAATACTGATGACATGATTAGTTTGCCAGTCATCTGTCATCAAACAGATATGTAGCAGTCATCCAGAGTGAACATTCTGGAAGAAAATGGATTTTCCTTTAAGAATGCAGGGAGTGAAAAGCACTGACTCAGTAGATTGGGCGCACCACTCTGAGGCCCTCATAAGCTCCAATCAGATTTCCAGATGAAATGGAGCACAGTCAATAGACTTAACTCAGAGTACATGAAGTCTGGAGGGCAGGTGGGGAGACATGGATGGGGGAGGGGGTCCTCTATTTGATTAAGAACTGTTGTAAATTTTTTTTAAATCCTAACTATGGGGACCAGCCTCATTCCTCAGAACTCTCGTTCCTCGGTGTCCTGCTTCCAGCTTGCGAATAAACTATGAAATCTGAGAAGACCAGGAGATGAAGAACACAAGCTCAGGACTATGGATTTTCTTTTTTAAGAGGAGCGTTTTGTTTTAAAATCAGTCTGTTGGCAGGGGCGGGGGGCAGATGGGGAGAAGGTCTTGGAAGGTGAGTTTAGACTGCTTTTCCACCTTCGTAACTGATAAATTGCCTGAGAGATGATCAGACTTTCTCTGAGACTTACTGGGGAAGGAAAGCAGTCCATGATGTATTAATATGTGTCCTGGGAGACCCAGGAGCCTGGGTTCCATGGAGCAGAGTGACCTGGGGCCCACCAAGTTCCAGTCACTTTGTGTACAGCCTCTCTTTTTCCACACAGTCACCTGCTTTCTCTTACATGAGCCAAAGTGTCTCTTACATCACACCCTTCTCTTGGTTCCTAAGAAAGCCCAGAATGCTGTGCGATCCCCATGGGGTCTTAATGAAGTGACCTCCACTAATTCCAGAGAGACAGACAAGGTAGCTAAGATGCTCATCATTCCTAACCCCAAAAAGTTGGCGCAGGTTGATTACGTTGTATCTGAAATGCCTAAAAGCTGAAGTATTTCAGACCTAGAACTGGTTTGGGATTTTTTTTGAATATTTGTATAGACTTCAACAAGAAGGAAGCATCCTGATTTCCTAACTTCTAGATTTCAGAGCACTTCAGATTTCAGATTTTTAGATCAGAATGCTCAATCCAGTACTAGACCACAAAGCCAAATAAAATCCTAAGGGCTGAATAGAATTGCTCCTGTTATAAGCAACCCATCAGAAGCCCAAGCTGACACAGCTCATCTCTCCCTGTTCCATCCAGTGGTGCTTCCCCCTCCTTCGGCCTCTTTGGCCTGACACCTGTCTGCACTTAGACATGGAAGGCCAGGTAACATCAAGGTCGGTTAGAAAGAAAAGCCTAGTTATAGACAGAACTCAGCTTTTTGTGTACAATTAGAATTTCATAACAAAGTGTGGGAAGAAAATAATTTAGCCCCTCAAACATGAATCATTCCAGAATAAAAACAATGGGAGGTTAGAGGGAAGGCGCAGAGCAGGCACGGGCATTTAATGGAGCACAGAGAAAGGAAAGAACCTCCAGGAAGCAGAGACGATTGATTACCTGCAGTGTCTCAGGACATCTAAGGGCTCCTTTCTCCCTCCCTCTGTCCCTTCCTTTTTCTTTCTTCAAAATCTCACTATATAGCCCAGACTGGCCTTTGCTGGCAGTCCTCCTGGCTCAACCTCCCAGGTGCTGAGATTACATGTCTGCACCATGCTCATCTCCAACCTCCTAGGGATCTTTAAATGGAGCACATGATGACAGGAACCTAAAGCACATTGCTTCAGCTAATTTGCTTGTTTCTTCAGGGCTTACCTATGAATGTTTACAGCTGAGAATATGTATGTCCACGTACTCCAGAAGCCATCTTAACTACCCTCTGTCCTTAGTTGTGAAGCTAAGGAAAATAGCCCTCAGAAGCATGGAGTAACTTGGCAGAGGTTTATAAGCAGTTAGTGGCAGATCTTGTCCTGGAAACCCATGTCCCAGGATCAGAGAAGAGTAAGGCCATGGGAAAGAAGATCAAAAGACATTGAGGGAGGAGAATGGGGCGCTGTCTCTAGTACTTTATACTTATCTATGTGCTACTTTGTGAGACAGACCTCCTGCACAGGGCTTGACAGAAAAAAACAGAACTTAGCTGAAAAGATCATCTAAGTTGTTTATAAAGTATCCAGTGAGTTACTCAATGTCTCTGTGGTTCTAAGTTATATCTTGTTGAAAGGTTCTGACATGGCCTAGAGTGATACATTGGAGGCCTGGCTTTGCTCTCTATCTTTAAGCCATAGGCACATACATGTCTCAACAATGTATTTTAAAGAGAAGTATGTTAAAATCTTGGCTTTTTTTTTCCATGAATGAAATTATTTCTGAACTGAAAAGTTTCTGAGCTTGAATCTACGACTCCAGTTAGACCTGTTGAGGAAATCTCTTACCACACCTTTGCCTTCACTGAGAAGCAGAAATGCGTAGAAAGGATGAAGGGCACAGTTGTCACTGATGTTAGGAATTGCTCCATGGAGGATTTACTGTCCAGTTGTTGAAATTCCAAAGTTCACTGGATTTGCTTTAAATAGTTACATTTAGTCCAAATTGGAGGTTAGCATTAGCTCAGATAGATAGGTTAGAATACAAGAAATATGTACTTATGTATACTTTATAAAAACATACTTAAAATATATGTATATGCTTAATAGTAAAGCACGGTACAAATGGCAACAATAATGTCATAAATAGTATTATGAAATCTTATAGATTGTATTCTAAAGGACCTTAAAATTTTTATCACTATGAATTTAGCACTCAATCAAGGGAAAGATAGAATTATAACAGAATGTGTTTTGTGTGCAGTTGTATTTCACTAGGGAAAAACCTGAACTGTATTAATGAAATGTATAGATATCTCTTCCGTATGCGTTCTCTAATTTATCTGTAGACAGTATGAGAACACTCGCTGGCTTGGCTGAAAGGTCTCTGGTGTACAGTCATTGAGATAGCTAATTCCTTTAAACAGACCAAAAGAACAATGAGAACTAAAAGAATGCAAACACATTTCATACACAAACTTTAATAGAACACTTTTTGCAGAAGTCATTAATATTTTGAAGCAATCCTTGATGAAATTCGTTCTTTAAGAAGATAGTCCCAAAACATTGATTTTCCTGGTGGTGACTTGTTATCGGTATGCGTTATGTATGTGCACAGGGCTCATTCTGTGAAGTTATCTCCAGTAGCACCCCTATACTCCTTTATCTTGGGCTTTCCTGCCCAGGGCTGCAATTGCAGCAGGTGAGAGGCTGAGGCAGGGGGATCATGCGTGTCAAGGCAGTCTGGGCTACATGGTGAGACCCTGCCTTGGAAAAAAACAGAAGAAAAGAAAGGAGGGAGAAAGGAAGGAAAGGGAAAGGAACAAGGAAGGGAGAGGGCGAAGCAAGCACGGTTTCTTAACAACCAGTGAACTTCGATTTGCGTGTCTGCTGTGCCCTTCAGGCAGCTACTGCCCTGTCTGAGCCTGTTGCTTTATAAAATGACGGTTTGAACTGCCTCTGAGGTTGTGGTGAGGATCACCGATGTGAAAACAATCCCTGGTAGATGGGTGATTCTGCTCAATGAATGGCAGCCGCGACTGTTTCCCCACATTTAGCGTTTCCACAGCGCCAGGTCCCCTGTGCAGGTGATGAAGAATGCTTCTTCCTCCTAGGAAACAGCACCAGGTATGACCTGACTCCTGTCACGGCCGTCAGCGTGCAGTTGCTCAGCAGTAATGGAACACCGGTGCTGGTGGACGGTCCTATCTATGTCACCGTGCCCCTGGCCACGCAGAGCAGCCTGAGGCACAATGCCTATGTCGCAGCCTGGCGGTTTGACCAGAAGCTGGGTAAGCGCTCCCTGAGCACTCTCTCTGGAGTCTGATATTTTTCTTTTTCTTTTTTTTTTTTTTTTAATTTAAGGTAACACACTTAAAAAGGATCTTTAAAGGTCATGAGAGCTAAAATTGGCTCTTTTAATCTTTACCCTTTTATTTTTTCTCATAGTGCTATGATCAGTCTTGAGCATGTGGTCTTTTTTTGTCTTCTGAAAAAAGGAAAACATTTATTTTCCAGCATTATATGAAACAAAAATGACTCAGGAATGATCTTACTACCTAGAGGAAATCATGAATATACTTTTAAGTTATCGCAGTCACTTCACCGTGCACATATGTGATGTGTTCATTGTTGCATAAGAAATTATCCTAAAATTAGCAACTTAAGACAGCAATGGCACATCTCCTGTCTCAGTTTCAGGAGATCAGGAATCTAGGTACAACTGAGCAGGGTAGTCTAGACTCAGGGTGCCAGCAAATTGTATGACCCTGTCAGCCAGAGCTCTGTTCATTTCAAGCAAGGCTCTGCCGAGGCTAGCAAGCATGCTCAGTATTCTTAGGGGTCACAGGCTGGCCTTAGTCTCTGCCAGCTGTTGGCCAAAGCTTTCAGCTCTTTGCCACAGGGTCCTCTCCATAGAGCTGCTTACAGTATGGCAGGTTGCTGTCCTCTGAACCAGTGACCTAAGAAAAAGGAGCAAAGCAGTTGAAAAGCACACGTCCTTC